TAGGTGCAAAAATAATTTTTCACTTATGATTAAAAAAATTAACTCCTTACAAATGTTCCTTATAGGATACAAGAAAATAAATATATTTCAGGAAAAAAAAATGTTGCAACAGTATAGTGAAAGAAAAGTAAAACTGAATTGTATAACGATTTAGTTCTTGTGCATTATATGGATATGCAGTTGAACTTCGGTATCTCGAACACCAATATCTCAAATTCCATGGATATGTCAAAGTGATTTGGAAGTCCCAACCCCTTATTCTTTAAGTATTTTACCCTGGATATCTCAAATCTTCGGATATCTCGAAATTTTTTCTCAGTCCAATTGAGATCGAGATGATGAGGTTTGACTGTATATCAATGTTTGAATACCAGCAAACATCTGGATTGGACGAGTTATTTTGTAAATGTATGCCATGTACATGTATATGAATAAGTTCCTGTTGATGGGGATATAGCGAGAAATTGCTGTATGTTTGGTGATGGCAGATAGTAATGTACATTATTGAATACTGACACACTTTAAAGCCACATTGACTCCTATACTAAATTCTGTCAGAATAATACATGTAGTTGTAATATGTTTGTTTGTATTTTTAGCACAAGACAGACAAGATCGATTCCAGAGTAATTACCAGCAAAACCGTTCTCAGAATTGGCAGGACAGAAGAAATCAACGTCAGAATTATTCACAGAGAACTTATTAATAGTGCTAGAATCATGTCGATCTGACTTTTAGAAAGATGCATTAATGGAATTTGAGTTAAAGACATTAAATTATAACTTCATATGAAAATATTAATTTAAATTGTAAATTGACAATTTTGTCTAAAATAAATCTCTTTTCAAAATCCAGTGTTATTTTGTTCCAAAGTTGTATCAGCAGTTCCTTTTTCAATACATGTATTGAGTATGCTATGAAAGATCAGATTGATATAGCCTTACCAGAGCGAAAGGCTCAATGAGATACCATTTAAGTAGAAATTTTAGCGAGAAGCAAATTTAGCAATTTATCCCAAAAAAATTGATATAAGGGTGAATTAAAAAAAAAATGACCACCAAACTGAATTTTTTTGGCAAAATTCAACTACTTATAACATATTTTTCACTTATATCATCATATTGTAAATGCATTCTAGTTTAAAATCCTGAAGTGGCAATAGAATAGACAATTGGATTAAAAAGTTTCAGAATTTTTATTAGTAAAATTTCTTTTGAAAAAAGAAAATATCATTACACCTTAAAAGACTTTCTAAAATACATAATCACAAGAAATTATAGTTTTTTATGCTTCAAAATGGTAAAAGGGGTATAAATGATTAAATCTAGACCTTGAATGAGTATCTTCTCTTGTACATGTGACAAAAAAGTGTCTTTTTGATTGTTATTTTACATTTTTTTTTCAATTCTGGTTTGAAAAGTTTTAATAAGAAAAAAATATGAAGCAATAAAATTCCCCAAAATTCACTTTTTTGTCCGTTCAAGTCAATTCTTTAAATCTAAGCCAAAAAAGAATTGTTATATACGAGTTCTCTTACGAAAAATACTAGATTCTGAAGTGACCCTATGTTACATTATTGTGTTGCACTCCTGACATCTGATATGTATTTTATTTAACACTGTTTTAAAAATTATAACACACAATAACCCATTCTTACTTTGAAATCAATTTGTCATGTTGATATTTTTCATCGTTTACAGCAGGTTTTTCATATTTTGAAGACCTTAAAACATGATTATTTGCAAAGTGTAATATATATAAATTGTATCTAAAATATATGTGAAATGATGAAAACTATTCCCTGAATTGACTGTAAAATTTCTGTAATTTGTTGATAGACATAGTGTTTTGAACATCAAATAGTATCAAGCATTTTTTTCAACTTATTTTTTAGTAAAGATAGTTAAAAAGCATTGGTAATTATGAAGCAGTTTTGTTGCACTCCTGACTGCAGTAAAGTTTAAAATAAAAACCATAGAACACAAAAATTCATAAAGTGTGGGCAGCATCAAGTGGTAATGAAATTGTGCAATGCTTATAGCCCAATACTTCATAATTAAAACAGATGAAAGTATTTAAAATTCGCATTTTATCTGGAATTATACCCTATTTTATGCCAAAAAACTAGCTTAAATGTATATTTAGAAGATAAAATATATTTTAAAGCATATTTTCCTTTAAAAGACAAACACAGTAACCCACCAGAAAAATTCTACTCATCATTTTTTCTTTATTTTTATTCTTATTGGATGATTTATAATTCTAACATATTTGTTGCACTCTTGACCAAAAGCATTGGGGCCTTTAAAGTAGAATTGTGAAGTGAAAATTACATAAGATCTTGTTCTGTTGTTTCAGTGAAGTTGAGGAGGAATTACTTGAATTTTATGACAATGTTTTAGTGTGTTTATTTTTAACGTTCATTAAAAAAATCACAAAATAGATAAAAACACATCTGAATTGATAAAATTGAAAAAGGAAGGATTTTAATAATAAAACTCTCAATAATTTAGCACCAAATTATACAAAAAGATCATTATTAATTAATGAATGCTTCTAAGCATGAATAGAAGTCTTTTCGTCACACAACTTGAATCTTTAAAAAAATGTGTTGCACTCCTGACCATAGAAATATGGATCTGAAGCACAGACTGATCCTGTAATTGATAAATCTATTTGGTAAAAATGTTCTTTGTGTCTTTATTTTCCAAAATAAAAATCAGAAAATCATATAATGATAACAGTTTTTTCATGCTTGGGAGCAAAACATCAAATGTTGCACTCCTGACATTTTTGGGTATGCACATATACTTGACTCTCATTATAATGCTGCTTGTGATTTATATAACATTTTTAAGTTTTAAAATGTATATCAGTTATTATTTTACACTTCCAAAATTCTTTTTTGTCTTAATTTTCTATCAGAATTTTACAATTGATGTTTTTTTGGCAACACTACATTTTTTCTGTTGCACTCCTGACATGGTATAACATTTTTTTAAACATCAGCCATGACTACAACCTGATTAAACAAAAGTTATGACAGTCCACATTTAAAGCTCAATACTTTGAATATTATCAGGAAAGTCTTTATTTTCAACATGAAGCATTATTTTTTATTTCACAGATCTCCAAAAAATATTGAAATTTCAAAATGTCACAAAAAAGTGTTGCACTCCTGACAATTTTAGCATCATTTTTGGGCATAACATTTTTGTTAATTGAGATATCAATGAGATATTTGACAGGTATTTAGACACTATCTGAAGACATATGCTGAGACATAGAAATCTGTTTTCATTGCCTGTATTTTTAGTGTGGGTTGATAAATATGTGTTTGGTCATTTTTTTTTAATTCACCCATATATCTTTAGTGAGAAGTAATTTTAGCGATTTTATAATGTCAATAGAACAAGCTATAACAAACGATATGGAATAAATTGTTAGCGATATTTAATTTTAGCAATCTCAGAACCCTCGCTAATAATGCCAAAATTGAATCCTTGCTAAAAATTCTGCTTAATTATATGGTATTCTAATTGAAATTTGTCATCCATCTTTCAATCTGTAAATATTGCAAGTTTTACTAACTCTTCTCTCAATAAATTTGAGCTACTTTAAGATGTCAATGTTTTTTTCCAACGGGCCTCTTTGTTATAAAAGACTGTAGATTTCATCAGGAAAACCAATGATTGATTCATTTGGTACTAAATACTCCTTAATTTTAAATTCCCAGTGTAATTTTTCAGTAAGGTGTCATGTAACTGTGGTAGGGATGCAATTTGAATTTAATGGGTGTCTGCTTTGTTTCCATTACATAATTTATTAACAGCCCAAAATGCTTGGGATTTAGCTGTTTGGCCAAAAAAGTATGACATTTTCCCCTTTTTATACACCCAACATTAGACAAATTACTGGTGAACTTTAGAGTTATTTCCCTGAAAGCTTTGCAATATGTTCTTGGCCTGATGAATAAGTGAAAGGACATACTGTACTCTTGGTGGTTCTCTTGTTTTAATAAAACTTTTCACGTAATTGATATTTAAAAAGGAGGTAAATATTGTATTATATTATTTTTACTGTGTAATTCAATAAATCTGATTGGTGAATTCGTAAAACTTACAAATTCCTACATAATATAACAAAGGTTAAATATGAGTTTTGATTCAGTCAATCCATAGGTACATGTATGTCGATTTCACAGAAAAGCATATCGACTTCGCACTTCGTGCTTTGAGCACCAAGTGCGAAGTCAATATATCTGTGGATTGACAGAATCAAAGAACTACATTTGCTGTATTATTTTCTTTGGAAAAGAAAGAGACAAACAAAAACATGTAGGAATTTGTAAGTTTTAAAGACTTTTCACCATTATAAACTCATCTTTGGATTTCCTTAAGTTATTTTTAGTAACTCTAGTCAATATCATAAAATATAATTTTGCACGTGAAAGCAAGCAAACCAATCAAATTTATAGAATTACACAGTAAAAATAATATTTAAGAAGATTATTTTCGCAATTTTCATTGGCTGAAAGGACGTCGCATGATTTTCATCCTTTTATGATATTGATGCGAAAGTGTGTTCATGGAATATGATGTCGCACGACTCGCTGTTCAGCTGCACCAAAGTTACGTATAACCTGACGTCATAATACAAGAAGCATGTTTTTACCATTGTGACATAATGACAGCCAAGTCTGTTCAGTAAGGACTGTGTCAGATTATTCATTTTGAGTGATTATGTAATATAACTACCTGTATTATGGACTTCAGTGAATGGTCAATATGTGGTTATAAGGACCCATGTCAAGTGATATTGACCTCAGACACAGAAATTGATAGCGACCTTTCAAGCTCGGTTGCTATCACTTTCTGTGTGTTTGGACAATATCGCTTAACACGGGTCCTTATAACCACATATCAACCTACACTGAAGTCCATAATTGTATAATATAAACCCCCCAACCCACCCCCAATTGTTTAAAAAAAAAAGAGGAGTAAAGACTGTAATTTATCATTTATAACTTACAAAAACATACCATACAAAATATCACATTATACAGAACTATTTAGTAGAATCATTGTCATCATTTTGTTGTTTGGGTCTGTGGTATATCTTTTCCTTTTTTCCTTCCTTCATTGCTGCAAATCTTGCAGCAGTAAATAAAAAATCACTCAGTCTGTAAAAACAAAATTAAAAAAAAACTGAACCATCGGACATCAATGCCCTGCTCAGGGTTCATTAGTAATGCAGCATAAAAATTTGTATTGATGAAGTTTGTTAAGTTAGTGAAGTTTGATGAAAATATCTTGAATAGTTTCTTTAAAACTGAGTTTTAGACACAATAAATAGTAAAGTCAGAGGTCACTGGGAAGGTCAAGGTAAAAAAAACACAGTTGATAAATTCTCACCAAATAATGTATCAGTGCATAAGCTTACATAAAAATATCTTGAATAGTTTCTTTGAAACTGGGCTAAATGCAAATTTAAGAAAAGTGAGGTCAAGGTCAAAGGGGAGGTCAACGTCAAGAAATGCAGGTTACCGTAATAGCACTCACCAAAATGTATCCGCATATGAAGTTTGATAAAAATATCTTGATTTGTTTCTTTAGAACTGAGCTAAACAAAAATTGAGAAAAGAGAGGTCAAAGGAAAGGTCAAGATCAGCAATGTTGATGCAACTGAATAGGTCTCAATATGTATCAGCATACGAAGTTTGATAAAAAATATCTTTTCTAGTTTCTTTGAAACTGAGCTAAACGCAGATTTTTGCAAAGTGAGGTCAGGGTCAAAAGAAAGGTCAAGGTCAAAAACATTGATGCAGTTGAATAGCTCTCATCAATATGTATCAGCATATAAGGTTTGATAAGTATATCTTGAATAGTTTCTTTCAAACTAAGCTAAACACATATTTTTTGAAAAGTAAGGTCAAATGAAAGGTCAAGGTCAAACAAGAGGCCCAAGGGCATTGAATCGCTCTTCTGATAAACTGTACAACCTATCACTTCTATTTGAAGCCTCTAAGTATCCTGTATATTTAGTTAAAGCCTCTAAATTCCAAAGGTAGATCATCATGACCTACATATTAGATGAAACACTCTGAGAACCCAAGATGATTCTAAGAATCAGTACCTGAGAGTAGGTCATCGTGACCTACTTATCACTTTTCATTCTCTGAGGACCAAAAATGCATCAACTAATTTTGATGATTCTAAGCCAATTAATACTTAAAATATTTTCAAAATTATAACCATAACCATAAAATTTCAAAAGTAGGTCATGGTGACCTACTTTTCAGTTGTTGTACTCCGAGGACCCAAGATGGATCAACTGACAAAGTTTGATGATTGTAAGCCAATTAGTACCTGAAATATTTAATTAAAGCCGTAAATTTTCAAAAGTAGGTCACAGTGACCTACTTTTCAGTCGACCTACTCTGAAGACCCAAGATGCATCAACTGACAAAGTTTGATGATTGTAAGCCAATTAGTACCGGAAAATATTTAATTATAGCCATATAAATTGAAAAGTAGGTCATAGTGACCTACTTTTCAGTCTACCTACTCCGAGGACCCAAGATACATCAACTGACAAATTTTGATGATTGTAAGCCAAATAGTACCCAAAAATATTAAATACAGCCATAAAATTTCAAAAGTAGGTCAAGGTAACCTACTTTTCAGTTGTCATACTCCAAGGACCCAATATGCATCAATTGACAAAGTTTGATGATTCTAAACCAATTAGTACCTGAAATATTTAAATAAAGCCATAAAATTTCAAAAGTAGGTCACGGTGACTTACTTTTCAGTCAACCTACTCCAAAGACCCAAGATGCATCAATTGACAAAGTTTGAAGATTCTAAGCCAAAAAGTACCTGAAATATTTAATTATAGTCATATAAATTGAAAAGTAGGTCACAGTGACCTACTTTTCAGTCGACTTACTCCAAAGACCTAAGATGCATCAACTGACAAAGTTTGATGATTCTCAGGCAATTAGTACCTGAGATATTTAATTATAATCATATAAATTAAAAAGTAGGTCATGGTGACCTACTTTTCAGTCGACCTACTCTGAGGATCCAAGATGCATCAACTGACGAATTTTGATGATTCTAAGCCAAATAGTACCCTAAATATTTAAATATAGCCATAAAATTTCAAAAGTAGGTCACAGTGACCTACTTTTCAGTTGACGTTTTTCGAGGACCCAAGATGCATCAACTTACAAAGTTTTATTATCATAGGCCTTAAAATGTCCAATTTATGCCTCTAAAATGCTTTGAAATCGAATGCCTGTTTAAAAAGTAGGTCACTGTGACCTACTTTTTAATAAATATGTTTTATGGCCCCAAGATGCATCATCTCACAAGATTTAATGATTCTAAACCTCTCAGTATTCGAATTAATGACCTTAAGTTAGTTGTTCTGAAAAAGATAAGCCATAAAATTCAAAAAGTAGGTCAAGGTGACCTACTTTTTAGTTGACGTACTCTGAGGACCCAAGATACATCAACTGACAAAGTTTGATGATCATAGGCCTAAAATTGTTTAAAATATGCCTCTATATCATTTTGAAAAAGAATGGCCACAAAATTTAAAAAGTAGGTCACTGTGACCTACTTTTGAGTCGACATGATATGAGGTCCTTAGATGCATCAACTGACAAGATTTGATGATCCTAGTCCTTATAGTAAGGAAAATATCAACATTTTAATAAAATAAAATTTTTTGTCAAATTTGAAGTGACCTTGAGACCACGCCCTTTGCCCCAGGGCGATTCCCCATGCAAATTTTAATTTACAACATATCTTCATCCTTTCGTGTAAGTTTGGTGATAATCTGCCCTGTGGTTCTTGAGAAGAAGATTTTTTAGCAACCAGTACTTTTATTTCTATTTTCCTAATTATCTCCCCTTGTTTGAGGGTCACAACCCTATTTTAGTATAAACAGGAGCCCTTGGGCCAAGGATACCCTGTGACAAATTTGACAATAATTGGCCAAGGGGTTCTTGAGTTATGGCCCATACATTTGTATTCTAAAAAGTTTAAGCACACCGCACAAATGGCCATATAGCATTAGCTCTTTGAGCCTTTGGCTCAGAAGAGCTAAAAATGTTGATGAACTTGAATAGCTCTCATCAATACATGTATGTATCAGCATATAATGTATCTTAAATAGTTTTATTGAAACTGAGCTAAACGCAAGTGTGATGGAAGGACAGATGGAAGGATGAAAGACGGACACAACAAACACTATATGCCATGACCATATCCATGGCGGGGCATAAAAATGACTTGATGTTCATATTGTATGTAAAGGGTATGCTATAAAACAGTTCTCTCATTTTTTGCTTTGTACATAAAGTGTTCTAAATTCCAGGTTTTTTTTTTCTCTTCTCAACAAACAAGAAACAAGCCAGCAGCACTAACCTATTTAAATATTTCAAGGGTTCTTGAGAAACTTCATTTGCTTTCACCATTGGAACAACCCTGCAAAATTGAAGTACTCTGTATTGAGAGTATATTAATGATATTATTGATATTACTGTCTTGAAACACACATGCATGCTGAAATATATGAGCATGAATATCTCTATTTTTACGTCATAATACCATACTTGACATCAAAACTATAGTGTAAATTGTTTTAAAAATGAAAGTTGAATGGCACAATTTGTGGCAACTCTTCAGATATATAAGATATGAATTTCATTTTTGAAAATTCATCAAGTACATGAACTACAACACTTCAAGATGGCATATTTATCAAGAAGCGCTAATGCGCTTCATGAAATATGCCAGCGTGATACATTTATATACCTATATAATTATTTTGTTTTTCTTACAGAATTGATTTTACCTTCTCTCTGCTCTTCTGCAAATTGACCTAGCAACATGGAGATGAGCTGAACAAAGGCCCCCTGACTACAACAGAAAAAAAAAACCTTGCATTCATTACAAAAAAAAAAAAAAAAAAAAAAAAAAAAAAACACATGCCTTGTTATCCTAAAGGAAACATCATTTGTTAAAGGGAAAAAAACATTAACACAGCCATAATATCCAGTCTGCATGAGTTTTCCCACAACATTTACCCAAGATACTACAATTAAAATGATAGTAAATTTTCCCTTAAAGTTTTTTTCACAAGTTTTTGTGAATTCATCATGTTACCTTCAATGAAAAATGGTGAAGATAATGAATGTAATGAATATCAATGTGTTAGAAAACTACATGTATGCCAGAGATATTAGCCAATTCCTTAACTTATATAATTACTCATCATTAATTAGGTACTGTATAAACTGTTGCCCCAATCACAAATACTACCTGTAGCAAACAAGTTTCACAAGGGCAAATAACAGGGAACTCAACAAGGAGAGGGTGTGCATAGGCTTTGCCTGTTGCCCAATCCTTACTGAATTACTCAATAAAATATGTTTAAATTAAATTAACAGGGAACTCACTGGCAAGATAAAATTCTTCAAGGGAGGTAACTCTTCTGTGTATTGATCAATCCATTTTTCTAATTCTGTTGTGAATGTAGCATTAAATTGTGTGTTTTCTGAAAGCATAAATAATTTGATGATGAAACAAAGTTTTAAGAATAATTTAGTTCTGGTTATTTGATTGGATAGAAAAATTTATTTATATATCGTATAACCTGTGTCGCCTGTATGTGTCACAATAACATGCCTCAAAAATGTTTCAATATGCTTGATGTTACATTTAAAATTTGTACGATTTGAAGGCATTTTTGAAAGGAAATTTATCTTATTTTTTTTACACTTAATGATAGAAAATTGAATTATAAGAAATAAATTTAATTATACCTGTGCTTAATGATAGAAAATTAAATTATAAGAAACAAATTTAATTAAACCTGTACAACTTGGGTAACAGTTTATGCTTTAATATAAACCACTTCACAGTTTATAAAGCATAAACTGCATGCCCAAATCCAGGTTAAACAGTATAACTTAGGTACTAAATTCACTTCTTAAACCTACTCCCATTCTAAATGGAGAAAGATAGAGAGAGGCTTACTTAAATGAACCTCCCTTGCAGAGGAGTTTGGAGTGGCTACACAGGATCCTATATCCTGGAGGACACACTGAACCTGAATGTACAAAAAAATTAAAATTCTGTTGTTTTTTTTTTTTTTATACAATTTGATGAACAGAAATTAGAATTTAGGGAAGCAGCAGCAGAAGGCAAGAAAATTTCATATAGTGATAAACATGTAAACTGCCCACTTCCTAACTGTAAGGCTTAGTTTACCAAAATAAATCAGATGGTACAGAATGCTTAATTTACAAGAACTTAAAAATTATTTCTGAGTGATAAATCATGAATAAATTATAATAAAGTAGATTCTGAAGAGGAACACTGATTGAAGTGGCAAGGGGAAAAGTAGATTCTGAATAGGAACACTGAAGCAGAAAGAAGAAAATAAGGTTCTGAAGAGGAACACTGAAGCAGAGAGAGGAAAAGTAGATTCTGAAGAGGAACACTGTTTGAAGTGGAAAGAGGAAAGTAAATTCTGAAGAGGAACACTGTTTGAAGTGGCAAGGGGAAAAGTAGATTCTGAAGAGGAACACTGTTTGAAGTGGAAAGGGGAAAGTAGATTCTGAAGAGGAACACTGTTTGAAGCGGAAAGGGGAAAGTAGATTCTGAAGAGGAACACTGTTTGAAGTGGAAAGAGGAGGGGCTTTTTGGTGGATAAATTCAGTTTATTAAAAGTCATAATTTGTTTTGTCTGCATAAATTGGGGAAGTTCATGTTATTGTCTATAAAAAAAATTGTTTTTACCTGTTCTAATTGACTGATGAGACCGTCATCCTTGCAAAATTCTGCTGCTACACTTAAAAGACAAATAACAGATTATTTAAGATTAAATATTTCTTCTGTATGTCATTTTATGACCATTAAAGAAATAAAATAAAATGTTGATGCTTGTCAAAAATGACTTTCTCCAGAATTCTTTTTTTTTCAAGAGTAGACATATAATGAAATATGGATTATCCAAGCACATTGGTAAACAAACAGTTATGAATATTCAGTAAACTTCAATGCCCACATGTGACACCAAACAACCAATAGGTAAAACTCAATGAATGACCACACTTTTTGAGTAACATGAAACCTGTTTTAATTAAACTCTTTTTATTGTTGATTTCATTTCTGTGCATTCTTCATGCAACATATGTAGGGATTACCTCCCTTTAAATAAAGATTTTTTTATTAAAAAAAAAAAGGAATGAATTTAATGCAGGGTGTGACACACCTACTACCTAAGATATCGATGCATTAACTGGCAAAGTTTTATGATTCTAGGCCTCATAGTATTTAAGAATGAGGCAGACATGAAAAATGCTAACTGACAGACAGATGAAACATGAACATTAAAAAAGTAATACATGTATTTGAACAAAATATTTCATTCAGCACATTATCATAGAAAGAGTTATCTTATCCTGTTCTAATATCAGCTGAGATTATCTGGACTGATGCTAGCTGTCATTGGTCCAGATATCCAGCCAAGTCGAATCTCAATCAAGATTAATCCTGTTCAACTAAAATTTTAATAATCATAGACCTGAACACATTAAGTGTCTTACCCAATAGCAGAATTTAGTTCATCAGTTGATCCTAATGCTTCAAATATGATATCATCCTTTGATCTTCTCTCTCCTGTGTAAGTTGAAGATGTTCCTGACAGAGAATTTTTTTTTAATAACTAATTGTAACAGTTACATCATTATAGGTATTCTTCTGCAAAGACCACTCTATAGATTAAAAAAAATATGAATCTTTCAAAAGGCATTACCTTTATCACCAGTTTTTGTGTAAATCTTTGGAAAAGACTTTGAACTGCAAAGGATTCAAATCAAAAATCAACATTTGATGCATGTGATTAATTGATTCTCCTAGCAATGTCATATTAAACACTTATTTTATTGCATACATGGCTCTTCCCTTTTAACAAGAAAGTAAATTTTTTTTTTGTATTTTCTTGTTTTCAATTTAAAGCAATATGAGCTGCATTTCTGAGAATTTTATTTTCCTGTTAAAATGTGCTGTTATGATAAATATGTATGTAACATAATCCTTTATGATCAATTACACCAAAATAAAGTACTAAAATGTTTCAGAAGAGAAGATTCTGTGCTATGGAATGTATAGCATTATATAAAAAAATAATATTGTACAGGATGACAATAATGTAATTTTGCTTCAATCAAAGCTTATAAATAGTTCTTCACTGCAAATATGAACAACAAAAGTTTATAAACATTCTTTTTATTCTGTCATTGTAATAGTTAATTACAATTTTGTAACAAAAAAAATCAACATAAAAGTTGCATGCAGCTCATATTGCTTTAACCGCTTATCAGCTTTTAAAAAGTATTCTCTTTAGAGAAGTGGAGAGGCCTCGCCTATAATGTAGGTGAAAGCCTCCCCACTTCTCTGAAGAGAATATGTTCAACAGTTGTTAAAATGGAAGTGTCAAAGCATTCGTAAAATGCATAAATTCAATGACGGTGTTAGCAATCTCCCAAAGGATCTGTCTGCTGTGGTTAAAAAAAAAATCTTACCTTAACATTCTTAGTGAGGGACAGCAGGCTAGTTCGGTTATTCTGAACAATATTTTAGCTTGAAACATTGTACTTTGTAGTTTGTATTTTGTGCAATGAACAGTCAAATAGAAAATGAGAATAGAAAACCTAACTCTTTCGTTTAGGAGGTAAAAAAGAAGACGCCCATCAAGCATGGAGTTGATTGTAACTGCACCTGGTAAAGTTATTTTACACGGCGAACACTCTGTTGTTTATGGAAAGGTAAACTTTATATATTTTGCTTCAAATTATTTTTAGACACAGAAGTTCCGTGGAATAACTGCTTTTCTAATATATTCATTTTAGTACCAAAAATTAACAACAGAAAAGTCCAGCGGTCTTCATTTTTGCGGGAAAAAGTTTATGATGTTCTCTTCATGATGTGTAGATTTCCATTTTATGCCACTATAATTTTCTTCATGTGTTCTTTTTTTTGCCTCAGTTTTATAGATTGGTAAATCTTCTGAAACTGTGAAATCATATCTTAATATTGTACATAGTCATGAACCTGGTACTGCCTCTTAATTTAAAACCGTGACAAAAAAGAAAAGTAAATCACTTTTTTCTCAATTTCCTTAGGCCACAATTAAAATATTGTTGGTTTGGCGTTGCCTACTTAGTCTTTATACGTTTGGGTCGGTAGGTAGGGAAAATATTTTTTTTTTTATTTAAATTTCAGAAATGGTACATGTTGTTAGTATCCGAACGTCATGGGTTTCCGATAGTTTAACAACAACCACAGTCCGAATTCATTCTCAGTTTTGTCATTGATTTTCAAACCCTATTAGTTTTAAACCTTTAATATACATAGTATTAAAAATCACTGACATTAAATTAGTGTAAATTCGAATCATGTGCACGAATCCAAGCATGGCAGCTAAACTAGCACATTGAACATGACATTGTACCGTGAAATTTCTATTTCGAACTGGTATATCTTATTCATCAGTTTACTTTTAAAACCACATTACCACAGAGAGTCATGCCATCAACTTCTGTTATATCGAGTTTACATTTTACCGCTTTCGAATGCTTGGATTCATGATACGCATTTATTCAACATCACATAGACGCTTATAAATGAAAACTGTGTGATCAACCAAGCGTTTACATGATTCGTTCCCATTCTGTATATATTACGCAAACGTACAAACACCTAAATCCGGATGAATATTACGAAATAAAAATTATGATCAGTATCTGTTGAAAAAATTCTTTGGACCGCACCAATTTATGTGAGTCGGCCGGCAACGCCAAACAAACCTAATTTTATTTTTGGCCTTAGAAAGCCATTGCAGGTAGTTTAAGCCTTTGTACCACTGTCAAATTCACAGCATCAGATGTCAATGAAGTTACACTAACTTTTTCTGATTTGGAGATGAAAGAAAGGATTGATTCTGCAGATCTCAACAAATTGGAAAGCTCTTTGACAGGTTTTTTATTTTTTAAAAAAGTTTTCTATATACAGTGTAATACTTGAACTAATTTCTTCATCCACAGATTGATAGTTTTATAGAGCTATATAAAACACACTTTTGAAATAAGATTTACTTTGAAATCACCAGGTACTAGGGATGTCAACAAATACCTGGATAACCTGGTACTCGATCAAAAGTCTGTGTATCGAATACTAAAAATGGTTCTCGTTTACTCAGATGTGTATTTTTCCTTATATCAAAGTACACATTTTTATCAAAAATTATCAAAAAAATAGCTTAAATATGCATACGGTATTACGGTAATTAGCATGTAATCATCTAAACCTGTAAAACACCCGTAATTAATGACCATTCACCTGGTACACAGCTGTTCTCACCTTTTGTGGTTCTTAATATTTGGATGGCTTGAATGATTGTTTTCGTGAACATCATTTAAGTGAGCGTCTCAGAGAAAACCATGCAAAACAGTCCACAAGCAGGGTTTATGTATTGTTATCAATTTTTGTGTGCAATATAGTATTGATATACCATTAAATTTACCACATACATTTTTGTCATTGTTGCCTTAGTTCATGACTTAGAGGCATGTTACTAAAAATAGAACATGTAGTCAAACTAGGAGCTTAAAATCATGGAATCTAGACATATTTGAGGAAATCTCAACAAATTATGACATTTCTTGCACTGAAATTAATTGATAGGCATAAAAGTATGTTGCCTAGAGTATCAGTCAGGATAGTAAAATTTATTCAGTACTTACCCAGTTTAAGTACAAAAAGGTCACAAATCTTCCAAAGTTCACATTTCCAAAAAATTCAAATATTTATGAACTTTCAAAGTATTTTTAAAGAGTCTGTAAACACTGCAATTTGTTTTTTAGTAATTACACCTGTAAGTACAGACTATAATTAGGAAAATATAAAAAATCTATCTTTGGACTCTTTCAAATAGGGCAGATATGAGGTCACAAACAATGCTATGTTTTGATGTATTGCAAATCACAATAAAATTGTTAAAAAAGCTCATATCTAGTATATCATAATTTAACTGGAAATGTTTCAACATGTCACTTTATAATATTTCAAAACAAAAAGGACAACTATAATACAATTCTACATAAAAGGAACTTAAAACATTTTAATCCAGAACATATATGTTGTCATGGGTAACGATATTATCTTGGTATTCTTTTTTTTAAAAAACATCAAATGGCTGTTATTCATTGAACTTTGTTTTACTGAAAAAATAAGACATAGATAACTTAAATATGAATAAAAAGTTTGTATGAATTTTTCTCTTATTTTCATATTTTGGTACTCAAAATGTATCTTTTTTGGTATCTTTTTTACAATTTTCAAAGGATATTTGGGCCAATATTTAAAGTAGGTCAAAGCTAAAAATAGAACAACATTGAGGGGCAATTGAATTCAAAATTTGGACTTTCATGGGAGGTCCTTCCAGTTTTATACCAGTTTTAAAATATCTGAGATGTAAGCTTGTGGACCATTTTTGCCATTTTGCATGGTTTTCTCCGAGACGCTTACTTAAGTATGGTCTATTATCTTCAAATAATTTTTAAATTATTTAGTTAATATACGGCAGTGAAATCAGATATGCATAGAAATGCTCCTACCCACTTCGAAAGTGATGTTTATATACATTTATAAATGTGATAAAAACAGCTTTGGGGTTTAACAGAGCTTAATCAGTTAATGGGGCTCAAGAAAATTAACACACTTGTATCTACATTTTTACTGAGTACCCATGCAGGTACTCAATCGAAAAAATGTCCGAGTAACCGATTATAATTAATTGACTGATTTGACATCCCTACCAGGTATACATCTCTTTGTTAACTTCAGATCAACATCTTGATGAACCAACAATACCACCTGAAGATGTGAAGAATACTTTGACTTGCCTACAGTTGAATGAAGATACATTGGAGTCCTCTTTGGAACAACAAACAATATTTACTACAATTTCTTTGTTTTGCTCTTTAAGGAAAATCTCAGGGTAATCAAATTTATCTTCTGTGTTTTCTCCAAACAATATTCAGATCATGAACAGATATACCTAATATATAAAATAATGAAAAAATATTACACCTTTGCAGTTGTGAGCACATAAATGTTGCGTTTTTGTATGTGTCCCATTTAGCAATACATGTACCTTCAAGAAGCTTTGAAATTCTTACATAGTTCATGATCTCTTTCCCCAAACTTTGAAGGGTGTACCTTATCTAGTATAACAAACTGTAATAACAATTGTGAATCAAAATTAGTTCTGCAGTGCTTTTTATAGTAATGTTGAAATTGCATTGTGATAAAGTTCATCTCTATTAGTGAATGAAATTCTCAGACTTGCTTGGTTTGAACATATTTTGTTGTATACATATATCACACAAAAGGATTGGAAACAAGTTGTTAGTAGTAACTTATGATTCCTAATATTAAATATAAGGAAAATCTGCGGTACCAATGTTACTCTGCAGTTACTGGTATATATCCTACAAAATATTATCTTAAAGGAAGCAGATTGGAATTCACATTGTTGGCCAGTCGGATCTTCCAATTGGAGCTGGATTAGGATCTTCTGCTAGCTTTTCAGCATGTCTGTCAGCAGGATTTTTAACTTTGTTTGGATTTGTGCAGAAACCTGAAATTCTAGGAAATGGACCTTTGGGATTCTGGTCAAAAAAAGATTTAGAATTGATCAATAAATGGGCTTATTTTGGAGAAAAAATTATACATGGCACTCCTTCAGGAGTAGATAACTCTGTGGCAACATTTGGTGAGTTACTTATACATTAACATTTATTTTCTTTGCGTAGTAGTTTATCAAGACTACATTACTTTTCTCTTCGAAGGTGGGGCTATTCATTTTCAAAAAGGAGCCATTACACCTTTGCAGGCGTAAGTACATAAATATTTTGTTTTTTTTTTATTTAACAATATGGTTTGAATTTCAAACAGTGCATGGTTCTATTTTCTATGTGTACAAAATAAATACAGAGTGCATTATTTAGAAAAATAAATATAGAGGGCATTGGTTAGAAAATTTATTTCTACAGCATTCCACAGATGAAAATTCTTTTGATCAATACAAAAATTTCCCGATCTACGAAAAAACTAGTTGGATTGGTCAGAGAAAGGAAAGAAAAAGTGAGTTCAATTCATAGTGATTTTAACATTAGTTGGAAGAGTTGGAAACATGATCAGTCTGAAATACCAGTATAGAGTTCATGGTTTTCTTGCTGCTTTAAATTATTGTGGTAATATCCATATGACCATCTTCTTTCTCCTTTCTGCTCTGATGTCATAATGTTACATTTTTTTTCCTGATAAACTTTACAGAATCCCAAGATTTTTGAGCCAATTCTACAGTCCATGGATGAACTCACAAATGCAGTGGTCAAAACTTATGGGGAAATTTGTAACAGTGATGATGAGAACAACTCATTATCTTTTTCTGATTTAGAGGTATTGTCAGGGGTAACATCAGCTTTTTCTGATTTTTAAAGAAGGCTGGGAGGTCATGGTCAATTTTAGACTATTTAAACCTGCTTGAAAAGAAGACTTCTGTATAAAAATATAGGAAATTGCATTAAATATTATGGTTAGAAAGTTTTTTTCCTGTACTAAATAATTTTTATGGCTAGGTAAACAATATGACTTAAAAAAAATCCTATTTTAGGTAGATCTGTTGAGTAATTTGTTGACCACTCAACCTCCTAAGATATAATTGTCTAGCTAAAGAGGATTCATGGACAATAACATTAAGCAATGTGTTTATTAAAATCCTAAGGCCTTATCTTCTGTAGGATCTTATAGATGTAAATCAGCACCTGCTGCAGGCCCTGGGGGTCAGTCATCCCGCCCTAGATGACATTTGTCTGACCTGCCGCAGATCAGGGTTCCACGCCAAACTGACAGGGGCTGGTGGAGGGGGGTGTGCTTACTGTATTATCAGGCCAGGTAAATAATAACTTACCAGGTAAATAATGACTTACCAGGTAAATAATTTACCAAGTGCAGTTGAACAACTGTATCTTGAACATCAATATCTCAAATACCATGGATATGTCAATGTGAGTTGGAAGTCCCAACCACCTTTTTTTATGTATTTTAACCTCAATATTTTGAATTCTTGAATATCGGAGTTTTTTCTCACTCTCATTAAGTTCAAGATAAGAGCTGTCTGTATGTATCTTTGTATATATGTATGGCACCTGATCCCACCTCTAAATTTTGAGGTCCGTGTTTGCTATGCTCCAATAGTTTTTAAGTAAGAGGTTCTGACTGAACTTTTCTAAAAGGCTGACGAGTGACATACCTTAATCTGCATGAAGTATATTCATCTACTTAGTCATGGATGATAATTCATTTGTCAATAGATATATGTATATTTTCAAAGTTTATTTGGTATGTATCAGAAAGTGTTGGATAAGAATTCTACTTTTAAAATTCACAGCTCTTTGTTCTAGTCATTAAAATGTGCTCTATTTGAACTTTGGAAGGGAGTATGTCTGCATGGCAACAAGGACCTTTAAATTATAATTTTGGAAAACCAGCAACTGGGCTACTGAATGTGTTGCTTCTATGAGCTGAAGCTTGGGGTCAGTTAAAGATAACCAATTTGCAGTACTGTCTTAAATTATTGAAATATAATTTAAAGAAGTTATATGAATGTTTTAATGTACAGAGCTAAAAAGCCTCTTCATCCTTTGCATCCTCATTTCCAAAAGAATTGCAGAATCCGAAGAAGTATTTCTTTACAAAATGAATATAATCTTAATTTCTTTGAAAAGATATTATGTAAAACCTGAACAGGAGATAATAAGTGTTTTGGATAAAATGTCGAAAATTCCCCCAAGAATTTTCAGAATTATTTATTCTTAGTTTATGAAATCATACATCCTGGTATTTAAATTCACAATCTTTTCCTTGATCTTTTCCCATTTTCATGATTTAAATAAGTTTAAGTACATATAAAATGCAAAAGGATGCGTCATAAATTAATATTTTGTGTATATTACCCTCTATATGGAAATAATCAATAATTTATTGTTTATTTTGAACATAAAATTTGGTATGCATTGATAAAATTAAATATTATAATTATGAATTATTTCTCGACCTTGTGCCACTTAGCAGATAGAACCATACCGAGATGTTACATTAGAAATTCAAAACAAATCATTAGATTCATCCTGAAATCACGAGATTTATCAAACATGTATGAAAAATATTAAGGTCTGACCTTGTACCACTTCTTACGTAGTACCGATCTGAAAAGTTACATGTTCATAACTATTTCATTTTGGTCGATTCATGCAGATATCATATGATCTATGAAATGTTTACGTATATATACGACCACATCTTAATTTTAAAGTACGCATGTCACTTGATTTTTTATTGTTGGTTATTTATAACAAACAATAAGTAATGAATTTTTTAATATATTAGAATTCGTTCTGTGTATTGGAAACGAGAAGTATTAATGACGTAACAATAAAATATAGTGCAATATTCCAGCGATATAGCAGACAAATAACGAGATGACGTAATCTCCACCTTAATAACGAGATGACGTAATCTCCACCTTAATGGTTATTAAATGCGAGTTTAAATACTCCGATTTGAAATGAAATATCAGCAGGAGGATAAAAAGTACGCTCAGCCAGGACTTTTCAGGTACAGTCAGGCCCGTAGGAAACAAGTTCAGTTTTTTTTTTTGGGGGGGGGGGCACATCCATACATTTTCAGTTGGGGGGGACTATCGACTACCAAAAATTCCCTGACAAGCCCCCCCCCCCCAAAGAAAAAGGTCATCAGACGTTTTTATTGAGGGGGCACAAGCGTATAGTAGCTATGTTTTCTAAAGCATTCTATATATCGGCAAAATTATTGGGGGCACGACCCCCGTGCCCCCCCCCCGTTCCTACGACCATGACAGTGTACGAACTATCCCCCTGCGAAATTTATAGCAAACCTCATTATTATACTTCTGTTAAAATGTTTTCTATATAAAGTTAAGAAGGTAAAATAACTATTTTTCTATAGTCTGAAAATTTCATGCCTAGCGAAGCTATACCCCGGGGTACAGTTTTTGCTATCCACCCCTCGGAAATTTTTCATTCAATCTTTGCCGCCAATTTTGATTTCTGCTATCAATCTATAGACTGATGATGTCATCCTGACTTCAGTAGCATTGTGACGTCATTAGGATTTCAGCTCATTCTTGCAGTGATTATCTTACGCCAAATACTTGTTCGACTTTAAAAATTATTACTTTCATGTTTTGCCTATGAAACTATAGTATCAGGCATTCCAACCCTCAAAAATTATAATTTACATCAGTATAATAAAACGCTTATCCAGTGGCTGTGAGTGGGATAGCTCTTTCATCAAACCCTTGACAGGAACTATTCCCCTCGGGCAAGCCCTCGGGGAATAGTCCCTGTCGCGGGTTCGATAAAAGAGCTATCCCACTCACAGCCAGTGGATAAGTGTATATTATTATACTTCTGTTAAAATGTTTCCTATATAAAGTTAAGAAGGTAAACTAACTATCTTTATAGTTTCAAAATTTCCACACATAGCAAAACTATACCCCGGGGTATAGTTTTTGCTATCCACCCCTCGGAAAATTTTCATGCAAGTTTTGCCGCCAAGTTTGATTTCCTGTAATCAATCTATAGACTTATGATGTCATCCTGACTTCAGTAGCATTGTGACGTCATCAGGATTTCAGCTCATTCTAACAGTGTTATCTTATTCCAAATACTTGTTCAAAACTTTTATAATTATTTTTTTTTTTTCATGTTTTTACTATCGAACTGTAGTATCAGGTAAATCCAACCCTTAGAAAGTATGATGTACATCAGTATAATAAAACGCTTATCCACTGGCTGTGAGTGGGATAGCTCTTTCATCAAACCCTTGACAGGAACTATTTCCCTCGGGCAAGCCCTCGGGGAATAGTTCCTGTCGCGGGTTTGATAAAAGAGCTATCCCACTCACAGCCAGTGGATAAGTGTATACTGTTACATGTACTGCTTGATATGACGTAGAATGTAATCACGTTTGGAAGTCCGAAGTATTGTTGAATTAGTACTATTTAATCTTTAATGTTTATTATCATTTTTTAATCTTTCATATAGGTGTTTCTGAGGATGTCGTCGAGGCGGTAAAATTAGAAATGAAGAAAAGAAACTACGATTGTTTGGAATGTACGCTAGGTGGACCAGGTGTAGCACGGAAGTCGCTGAGTGATGGATGGAGTAAAAACGATCATGCAGAGTAAATTGTCTCGATTCCACAGATACAAAACTTCATACAAACGGTTCAGTGACTAAATGGAATTTATGATTCATGATTATTATGGACAGTATTAACAGTTTAGGTCATTATTTACACTTTGAATTGTCTACGGATTTTTCGGGGGTTTTTCCCCCGATCATGAAAGGAAGCATACGGCGGGTGTGACCGGTCGGCAGGGGATGCTCACTCCTCCATGGCACCTGATCCCACCTCTGATGTTTTAGAGGTCCGTGTTTGCTCTGCTTCTGATTTGTATTGATTAAATGGACTTGTGAGCTTGAATACTGTTCGCGATCTCCATATTTCATTCAACAGTTTCAATTTATAAGAGGAACCGGCCATTTTAGTATGTGGTTGAATTGCATTTAACTACATCAAGATGTACCAATGTGTTTCGGTGAGAAAATAAAAGATAGTTTCTGTGAAACAAATGCTAGCAGCAATAAGGTATATGCAATCAAATTAAACTGTTCTACTGTTTGTTTGCTCTTCATCATCTTTATCTCTCAAGACATAATAATTTGTTAAACATGTATAAATTTATGTAGTCATTTAATTTTTATTGAAGGATTTTCAACAATGAAAAACAAAGCAGAGATGAATTATGCTTAACATAACCGACACGCAAACAAACACACACACGACGAAAATTTAATTTCAGCTGAGAAAAAAATCTTAAACCTGGCATACTTTACTCGCGATGAATTTAAAAGTACAATTATCTTTCAGCGAGTAATTTGTAGAGTGTCAGAAAATTTGTAACACAAGTTCTGCGGTTATTTCATTAGCATTGTCATCTCTAACCATCTCGTTAATGAAGTCTGTAGCAAGAAAGCATTTCGGCAGGTCAACATTTATGCAAGGCCAAACAAAACCCAGATTCTTTTTTTTAACCAAAAAAGAGACATTAATTGAGACAGATGTCAGACATGGAACAGGTATTTTTTTTCAAAAAAAATCTCAAAGCTGCTTATTCAAGTTGTTGCTTACAAATTAGTTAAAAAATGTATTTGCCAATTTTGCTTATCCTAGTAATTACTGCTCATGCTATACATGTCGCCCTACTACATTACCAATGGATAAAGAAGAAGTTTTATTTAGAACTCTGTGTTTACTGATGGGTTATGTAGGCCACAGCTGTATCAAATTGTCTCATGCAATCTTCAGTATTTTTTGATAAGTATTTTATTTGTTATAAAGAGAATCAAATTTAACAGGCTTTATTCCCTTAGCGGATCAAGGTACATTTGCTACTATATAATACATGTGTAGCAAAGTTCAATGACTTAAAAGCAAAAGTGAAAATACTATAATATGTACAAAATATCTAAAATCATTACTACACAACTATTATTGCCAATCTTAAACTAGCAGATGTATGTACATTATTTACATAGTACATATAGATGTCGTTTGATACAATGAGATCTATGTAGACACAAATACTAGTACAAGTTCAGTGAATCAACATGAACAACACAGACAAAAATAATGATCCCAATGACAAACTGGAGAGAAATAATGTCGATGACGATGATCTCAGCGATGAAGATGCTGGAGTCACTGACTTTTTCACTTTAGTTACACTGGTATCTGTAGATAATGTGTAATTTTGAGATTCATTGAGTATAATTTTTTCCTTACTTTTGTTTGCATTACTTTCATCACTAGATGTAGTAGTTTCCTTGGCATTAATTTTCTGCTCTGAATCTACAGAATTGTTTCCGTTTGCAATAAAAGATTCGAGCTCCGTAGTAGAATTTTGTGTGCTTTCTTCAAAATTTATTGTTGTCTGTGCATCTGTGCTTGAATCAGTTCTTAAGTCTCCATCGTCATCTTCAAAGGAGTTTGTAAATGGTGCAGAGGTAGAGTTTGCATTTGATTGAATCTCTTCGGATGACGTGGGGAATTTTGATTGGATGTCTTGTGATGACGCGCTTGTCATTGATTGGATCTCATGTGATACCGTTGTTGATTTGATCTCTTGTGATGACGTCATTGTCGACTGGATCTCTTGTGATGATGATGTTATTGATTGGATATTTTGTGATGACACTGACCTCGTTGTTTGGATTTCTGATAACAGACTTTTTGGAAAATGATCAATTCCCACGTCTTTAAGAATAGATTGGACAATAGACACCCAATTTCGGTCTGCTTGTCTTGGCATAATGATTGAATCATCTACAAATTCATCTGATGTCTTAAGAACAGATAAACATTTCCCACCCAGAATTACGTGATAGGCACCAATGTAATCCCTGAGGTAACTCCTGCATGAACGTATCTTTTCCTTATAACATGTTGCTGTTGCAGCTGATATTCTGGAAGGGGAAAAAAAAGCTTAACTTTTCTTGATTTTGGGACGGGCCTCAAAAAAGTTATTCATTATTCTCTTAAGAGAAATGGTCAGGCTTTTGCCTACATCCATGTAGGCGAAAGCCTGTCCATTTCTCTAAAGAAAATATGGGATTCATATAAAGTCGTGTTGCTTGTTAAACCATCTTGGGTCCGTTGTACATTGTCATTGGTGCATTTGTAAAGTTGTCATTAAAATTATGCTGAATTTTTTAATTAAATTATGAAAGCGCCTGCTCAAATTCTGAACTCATAATCTGAAACCAAAAGTCTCTCTATCTATATGAGACGTCAAAACATGACCCAACACAAAGCAAAATCATCAAAGTGATAATGACAGTGGATAATTATCTGGAAAATTTGGGAGCAACTACCTTGAAAACTATATTAAGTAATTTTTATTAAAAAAAAATGTTACACTTACATGCAAGCCAACCTTCGAGCATCATGGCCGTTTGTTGTGTTCTGTAAGTACATTTCAGTCAGTGTTTGTCTAAGTGGCATGGTCAAGGATTTAACACATCTTTTGGCGCGCTTTAAGCTAGATGACTTGATGCATTTTAACTTCCTCCCAAATTCTATTGTAAAAATAATTAAAAAACGTAATTTGTTAGTAAATTTAAAATTAGAATTATACATTGAAGAGCAAGATCATCAGATAATGAAACAGAACCAGCTGGGATGTTGAGAACAACGAAGCTTATATACTTTCGAATATATTACTTTTTAATTTTTGGCACATGGCAACTGATGTTCTTCTCGCCATTGTTGAATCGAACGTCATAGAAAAGAACCAATCCGAGGGACTTCGCAGACTGTTATTTTCCATAGACTGCTCTACGCATGGCAACACTCTGCTATGAACTCTAGAAATAATTAAGATGTAATTTGATCAATTAAGACATTCTCTCAAAATGGATATTATATAATTAACAGATCCGTGGATCTTAATACCAGATCCTATCCTTTTTAACTCGTCTGTGAAATGTATTTATCCTACTCTTCACGCTGACCGGTTGAAACCCCCCCCCCCTTTTTTTAAATTAATATTATCTTAGTTGCAGGCATGAATAAACAAAATAAAAAAATGGAAAGGACAACGGTCATTTATATACAAAATTATTTTCAGACCGGCTGCCCAGGTTTGTGGTCAAGAGCATAATGTTCCTATTTACTTGCTAATGAAGTCAATCATTGTGTGGTGTTCATTCCGAAACTTTGAACTTTGTCTAAAATATTCTCTGTATTGGCGTGACTGTCTCCATAAATTGTTTATATAGTTGATTTAAGCATATATCAACAGAATCAAGTGTTTTGTTTAATGTAGTTTTGGCTTATTATTTTGCACTCTTTACATTGATAATTCGTCCCATCAAGTTTTCATTTTACCGTGACAAAGATGAAATTAGCATGTAAATTAATGTAATCTGTTATAAGCTAATTGTTTAACACGTCAGTTTTTTTCTTCATACACTGATATTTAAAGCATATTTTGAAAGACAAATTTGTATTTTATATTAGAACGATTACGTATGAAATGAATAGACATTTTATTGACGCAAGAATGACCAGCATTCTTTTGACTTTCAAGGACAAATAAAAATATCATGGGTCTATAACGAAGTACTTTTATATCCTTAATGATTTAACTTTTAAACACATGACTCTTTAATGCGTCAGGATGAAAGTGCAAATTCTTATCACTGTGTACTTTTTTTTTAATTCACGGAATTCAAAGTTTGATTCTCATTGTGCAATCTATTTTTATTCCAAAAAAAAAAATCGCAAATTTTCAATTTACATTACGGTTCAACACATTGAGAGACTTACGAGCACCATTTCCACACGGAGTTGGAGAATTTGTTGCGGTAGCGTTTTGGGGTTCCATTGTAATAACCAACATTCCTCATGCAGTTTCTGAGGGCAGCATTTGGTGAGGAGGGCGAAGTCCCAGATTTCATAAAAGCCATTACACTCATCACTGAGCACAGCAGACATAGCGGAAATAAATATACATCTGAAAAAAGAAAAAAAAATCTAAACGCTGTATATGTACTTACACTGGCACATTCAACATATTTTTCCACACGAACACGATCGATTAGCCAATTTATGAAGTAAAGTATCACTTAAGCATGCCGTTTATAATTTTCAATTGAATTTGAAAATAATAACAGGTCATGTATAATAATTCAAATTCATATTGAAAATTGATATACAACATATATTATAATACTTGGAGAAATTTTCACACATTTATTATTGGCGTAAATACCAGTAAATTGTCCAAATAATGTATCCGCGAAAAGCTTTAAGAATAAGACTATAACTAAAATTAATAAAGTGAAAACTTGAGGACTCTAACATGTAAAAAGGCAGTCGAGAAGTTATCATTTTTACAATCGTATCAACACTGACAAGCTAGAACAGAGTTTGAAATTGAGAATATTTTTTGTTTTAAAATTTGATACGGCATTAGTTTCTGATGCTTAGAACTTCTCTATATAAAATAATTAAAGAAAGAATGACACTCATTTGTGTGACTTAATTAATGATTATAGTTATAGGACCAATGTATAACAAAACAAATGTGCAAAAATTATCTCTTGTCAATCAACTGTGAATTTCATTTTTCTTTTATTACATAATTATCATTAGTAATCAAGAGAGTTTGACTTAAGCAAAAATTACATTGGTCTTTGATTCATCATTTCCATTGCCCCCACAGGTCTATTTTTGAATCATCGTGGCAAGATTTCTGATTAGTAAGATTATTACTTCATTAAGTTATATTAAAGATATTAATACTGGTCTTATTTTATTATGTTATATTAAAGAAAAGATAATTACACTCTTCCATTTAAATAAAGTTATAATTAAAGAATTTCTGAAATAGAAAAGTAAGTTATTTTTATTTCTTAAACAAGCAATTTTCACCTAGAGTACATCTACAAAAATAGAATAGACCAAATAAAAATTACCCTCTCAAGTCTATTTAAGAGGGGCATTGATCGAGGTAATAATGTTTTTTTTAACAAATATTTCTCGACGAATCAGATTCAACTAATTTACATGAAAGTATAATATTGAGATTTATATGTATGTACAAGGCTTTGTATACCCTATCCAATAAACATCCGATCACCTGAAAAGCTACTTTAATACATCCCCCTTTTAAAGTAAAAATTAGCATCCCCAACATTCAATATTTAATTTATAATTTTGTTTCCAAGTACTCGTGTGTCCTTCTTTCCTTCCAGTATCGTGGTCCCAGGATCGTGCCTTCAATAGAAAAACCAGACTGTAGCACGACTGGTTTGATCTCAAAATAGTGGAAGAGAAAAGATGCATCCGGATTTGAAAAAAAAGCCCCTTTTCAAAAGTAGTATTACATACACATAATTCTATATCCTGACGTTTTCTAAACTTGTTCTTAGTTTTATTGACTCTAGGAGGGAAGTAACATTTTGAAAGGTTTTCATAGATAATTTTACTGTAACAACACTATGAATGCAAATATGTTGAGAGAGAGAGAGAGAGATTGGTGTACAGTATCTAGGTACCAAGTTTTATTGAAATAAGACAATATGTAGGAAGAGAAGCGTTTTGAAAGAATTTAACAGAAATTTCTATTTCTGTAAACATCGACATAACACAAGATTTGAGAGTACCTATGTCGGTGGAATCTAGTATAAGTCAGTTCTTTTGAAATCGGACGCAAACTGCAGGAAAAGTAGTGCTTTGAAAGAATTTCAGAGTACTTTGGTACTTTTTTCGTAACCATGGCAAGACCGCTAATAAAAAGTACAAAATCATGTATCTGCAGTTGTCTCGTTGTATGCCATGTTTTATTGAAAATGGACTCAAACTGTAAGAGGAATAGTATTTCATGACAAACAGCATTCATGTACCCTGATATAGTATACATGTGTACCAAGTTTGATTTAAATCGGACCAAAACAATGGGGTGGTATCCTTCTAAACCTGAGTTAGTAGCATTCGATTGTAATCGGATCAAAACTGTACGAAACGTTTTGAAAAGTTGTTTACATACTAAAAGTTAGACAGAGAGTCGGACAATCACCATCGCCTTTAAGCCGCTTCAGGTCTTCGACGAGTGGGGTTTAAAACACGCTATGTAAAGCCTTTAGTATAGTTTCACACTAAGTTTGTTTCTAATATCACAGAGTACTTGACGTAGATCTGAAGGGATCTGTTTCTATACATTTCTAATTATTTCTTTTATATAAACTAAAAATTGAACTTAAAAAGAATTCATTATTAACTATATGGTTTGGCAGAACAGATGAAATATGTGGAGATAATGAACAGTATTCAAGCTCAAATGTTCATTAAACATTACAAAATAAGAGCAGAGCAAACACGGACCTCTAAAACATCAGAGGTGGGATCAGGTGCCATGGAGGAGTGAGCATCCCCTGCCGACCGGTCACACCCGCCGTGTGCTCTTTGTCATGATCGGGAAATAAAGCAAAAATACTTCGAAAATTCAGTGTATAAATAATGGCCTAACAATTAGTATGAAAAAAGTCAGTCAGCATTTGACTTAATGAAAGATTGTATTAGCTGACAAGATCATTGTATCGACCATAGAACTTACGAAATGATGACTTTAAACGAGACTGTTGATATTCTTGTTTCATCAACTTATTTGTCAATAACATATCGTTTAAGAAATTGTTCATACGTAGAGCAAGCTCTGGCGTATCGAATCAACTGAGAGATATAAACCCCGTATGCAGATTAGGGTATATTGCTGCATAAGTAAGGGAAGTTGACGATTGAAAAGTTAAAGTCATCACGTTTATCATAAAGCTTTGTTGTTAGATTACCATTAACGTCTTTTTCTAATAAAATATCCAAATATGAAACAGATGTGTCAGACTCTGTGGTATTTTTTATCTTAAGCTCACCGGGATATATCGTGTCGACATAAGAATGGAAATAACCATTGTAAATTGACAATACGTCGTCGATATACCTAAATGTCAAGTTGAAGGCCACAGCAAGTGTTTTGTATTTTTTCTTTTCAAGTAAAAGATTTTGAACTAATTCTGCTTCACATGAATACAAAATAAGTCTGCTAATAACGGGGCGAATTGGTACCCATTGGAATTCCAATAGATTGTTGGAAGACCTGGTCTCCAAAAACCACATAGATATTGTCAATCAGAAACTCGAGCATCTTTTTAATGTCAACTTCAGAGTACATGTGTGTACAATCAGATTGTTTTTTTAACAAAGTAATTTTGCAAATGACCAATGACAAGGTAAGCAAATTTACGAATTCCATTTTTATTTTACCATTTAAAAGTCTGGACTTTAATTTATCGAGGGGAATAGTTGTATAAAAAGTTGAAAAGTAGTAAGTTTTTATGTTGTTGATTTTGGTAAAATTTTTATGATTTCAAATGTTCCATAAGTTCCTTGGAATTTTTTAATATCCACATCCGAGTTTGCAGACAACAGAGGTACATAAATGTATAACTTAAATGTATAAAAACTAGTGATGAATTAAATTTGAACAAAAGAAAATTCTCTCACAATGTATTAAATCATTTACTATTTAGTGTATTATTTAGCGTATTATGAAGAAACAACCTTAACCCTCTAACAATATTTAAATGAAATGAAATAAAATAAAAACAGGCATGATATAATAGTTATTGCTTCAATTTTCTATCTATAAAATGCCAAAAATAACCTTCCTTTTTTAGCTAGGGGAAAATGGCAATACACAAATTTGAAATAACGCAATTACGTGAACACAGTCAACAATTGAACATGCACATACCTTTCATTTTAGCTGCCGTTTTGAAGGCGTGAAGCTGAATGAAGAAAAATGGACATTCGTGTGAAATTAGCATCAATGTAACTCCATGTACTAAAACTGTCAAGACCACGTGTCTTTAATTTATTATATTTAATTTATTCAACCAGTAATAAATATGCTAAAGAGGAAGGTAAGTAAAAGTTAAAGGACAGCAACAAGAGGTGTAACATGCAGTAGTACCATTTTAAGTCACTAAAGCGTTTATAGTTAGAATTCCTCCGCTTTCCATCACTTAAATAAGTGGATATGGAATAACAACAAAAGAAACTGTTTTTTTTTTAATCAGAAGTGAAAATCAATGGTAGGCTTTTTATTAGAATTGATCAAATACAGTACCAATCAAATTCCAGAAGACTGATGAACCATGCATTTTATCATTTTTTTTATTTGAGGCGCTCGTGGTAGAGAAATGAAAACAAGGAATTTTGACATTTTTAGAGTTTGGACTGTTGTTGTTGACAAACAGCGATCACTGAACTTTATTTCATCTAAAGTTGTACTTGGTAGAAAAGAATGTATCTAAGACATGAGCAAGGTTTTTATGTTTTATTAAGTGCCAACTGTACAATTCACCAAAATTATATCACCGAATCGAAGAAAGACAACAATTAGCCCCGAAGATCGGACACATAATATTCTTGTCCTATCTGTTTTTCTATCTGTCTGCAAAAAGAAAACTTCAATGATAACACGCACATTTAAGTATTCACCCTTTTCAAAGAGTGCTCAAACCGTGTCTTTGTCTCTCGGTCAATGATTGATCCTCACATTGAGCTCACATTGTCTATTCTCTTTCTGCTTGCTGGCACATAAGAACCAAAACACTGTTCCCACCTCTACCTGGCTGACGCCCAGCCAATGTTCCCAATTGTGACCGTTCCTGCTCGTTAGACCTTCTCCATGTTGGTTTTGGTATGTCTACTTTTCTCCTTCATATTGGATGCTATGGTAGTGCAAATGTAGTGTTATCTATCTGTAGCACATGCATATGGTCAATCCACTCTCTGTGTGTTTGTTGTTTCGTTGAATCTTGATGTTTTTGTTCTACGATGTACATTGTAGCTGTTCATTTTATATCTTATCTGGTCACCTTACTCTCAAAAGTTGTCCTACTTTAGAAGGCGTCAAACTTCTTTTTGTCTCGCTCTGATGTTTTGAACAATGTTTCACTTCCATACTTCAAGACCGAAAACAACCAAGCTGTTGAACAATTTCCCCTTGGTCTGGATAGAAATAAAGTAGAACTGTTTGCTTTCCCGGATTAATTGGTATTGTTTTTACCGCATCTTTCTTTTGATGTTACCACTCCACTGAGGTTATATAGATGTCTCTGTGTATTGTCCAATGATAGTAACTGGCTCTTTTATGTCAGAGTTAAACCTCATTACGTTAGTTTTGTAAATGCTTATCTTAAGGCAAACTTAATTAGTCTTTATGTCTTTTGGATACCTTGAAATTGTGAGGATAGTAGAGTATGATCGTCTGCAAAGCCTGAAACCAGTCGGATTATTCACAATATGCCCATTCGAACGTTTCACTTAAACAACAGAATGCTTTAAATTCTTTATTTGTTAATGCACAACCCTCGTAAGAGGGTTTGTCCAACTTGTCTGGGTTGGAATAGAACTTCGTAATAGATCAAATGCTCTGTCTGTTTTTGTAATAAAAGACAAAATAATAAACAAACAATGATGTGCTGTAATTTGGTGGCAAACTTGATTTTGAAGAGACGGTTGGTTGTTTCATAAGGTGTGGCCTAGTGGCGTTTGAAACATTCCTCGATGCTGAACCATCATTTGACCGTCTGTGATCATTGTACTGTGAAATCACTATATTATGTGGAGTTTTATTTTCAGTGTTTTCGTATTACGAAGTGAAATTTTATGTCGACAATAAATGTCAAAACTATAAATCAAAGCAACTCCACACCTCTTCAACCACAGAAAAAAAACATGAACCCCCCCCCTTCCCCGAAAATTTGACCCCACAAACAGCTTATTTACAATGAATTACTAAGTATCTTTAAACAACTGTCCGATTGGGATTACACACAACGTATATTAATCCGCATCATCCCTACTAAACATATTTTTACATTTACATATGTACAAGCTTACTCTACCGGACCATGACAGAACACATGTTTACACATTGCATAAATTTGAAGGTAAACAACATCATTGTTTATACTTTTTTCTTTTTTTGTTTTAATCTGGACAAGGATTAAGATTGGCAATAGACAATAGTTTATTCTCATAAACTGTAACAACAGTATAGAGAGGATATTACAAACATAAAATATTTACAATAACGCAGTGCTAAGATTTCACCGAACAATCAATAAAATACGGAAAAATACAGGGATGTTAAATACTACATGTGTGTGTGTGTGTCAAAAACCATCATCAACAAGCATTCTGAGAGTATTGCATTAGCAATACTAGTCCCCTACCGGCAAGTGTAATCTGGTTCCCGTTAAAAATTGAAAATGCGGGAAAAAAGTGCGGAAAACCAAGTGGGACAGACAGAGGGACAGACAGAGGGACGGACAGACTCAGAGGTAACCTATAGTCCCCTCCGGTTTCACCGGTAGGGGACTAATTAGTGTTTCTTATACTGATGTTGCTACCGAATTTCAAGTTAATATAAAAATTAATAACCATTATTTCAACAACAGTTGCAGAAATAAAAAAAAAATGTAAGCCATAAGGTAATTGGTTGACTATTATTTACACTAAATTTCAAATTTCAATTAAAAAGATCATCTCTTGATCTAAAAAAATCTCGTATAATCAAATAAATAGTGTGTCTAGGAATAATTTTTTACATTCCAACCATCCACATTCGGGGGCACCTGTGTTTTACAAACGCATCGAGCATGTTTTCTATTACTGTGCTACAACATATTCAAGATGTAGTGTAAAACGAATAGGGGTTCTAAAAGAACTCCAAAGAACTTTTGGAGCATTTAAAATCTAAATACTTTTCAAACATCAATAGCATCAAAAATATGATTTTATAAGCTTTATACCACCATTCCTCAAGATAAATTAAAGAGCAGGCTTTTTGACATCAGAGACTACTGCTTCCTCGATAAATTTGGAACTCGTAAATTATCATACCTTGTGAATGGTCATCGAAAAAATTGCTTTGTTAAAAATCATTTTGATTCTACATACATGTACTCTGAAGTGCAATTTGAAGATAACGAACAGTAATCAAGCTTTTAAGTCCATTGAAACAATACAAATTTGGAGCAGAGCAAACAAGGACCCCCAAAAACATCAGAGGTGAGATCAGGTGCCTTTGAGGAGTAAGCATCCCCTGTCGACCGGTCACATCCGCCGTGTGCTCCTTGTCATGATCGGGCAAGCAGAAAAATCCGTAGACAATTCAGTGTGTAAATAATGGCCTTACTATTTGTGTAAAAAACGTCAGTCAACATTCGCATTAATGATAGATTTTATTTACTGACAAGGTCAGTGTAACGACCAAAGAATTTGCGAAATATTGACTTAAAACGAGACTGTTTATATTCTTGTTCCATCAACTTATTTGTCAATAGCTTGCCTCGTTTTAGAAATTGTTCGCACCTAGAGAATGCCCTTGCGTTTAGAATCAACTGGGAGACATAAAATCCATATGCAGGTGATAATGGTTTATTGCTACAATACGATACGATACAATACGATAACTCGTACCAGGAAATCTGATCACGTGACCCCAATCTTAAAAAATCTCCACTGGCTTCCTGTCGAATACAGAAGTCAATATAAACTACTTTTGTTTGTATACAATGCATTGAACAACCGTGCTCCAAACTACTTGTCCGATCTTCTCAAAATATACTCGCCTCCCAGATCTTAACGTTCACAGAATTCATTCCTTTTGGATGTTCCTAAGGTTAGAACTGTAACCTACGGCAGTCGCCGATTTGACTTTGCCGCCGCTTTACTTTGGAACTCTTTACCCTTATGTCTTAAAAAATCCAAATCCGTCTCCGCTTTTAAAAAAGGTCTTAAAACTCACCTCTTTGAACTTGCCTATGACAAAATGTAAATATTGTATTTTTAGTGATTTATTTAGAATTAAACATTGAACTGGTTGTAAGGTCTTTTAGGAATTTTGTGTTTAATTCAATAGTCCAGACTCTTTTAAATTTTAAACGTTTCAATAGTTGTAATTTTATAATAGGGTTTTCCGAGCAGTGTTTCAGTACACTAGTACATATGTAACATTTTATGTTCTCATAGTTTATAAGGTCTTTTAATTAGCCCATTTTTTTACGCACATGCATATGCATTTTTTTTAAAGTAGATTGTTCTTCATTTTGTATGCTTATGTGTATTTTAATGTTAAGCGCACTAGAGCGTCTTTATTATAATGCGCTATAGAAATTATTGTATTGTATTGTATTGTATTGTCAGCTGTGGCCAGTACATATCGATCACGTAATATAATACTTTTTTACTTCTGAATTATTGAAGACAGAAGGATAGATGGTTTTCATATTGCCACTCATCTGATACTTTTAATTCATTCTGACAAAGTATCAATGTCTTCTTTTTCATATAGACCGCGATCATTAATTGGCAAGATTGTTTGAAACAACAAAACCTTTAGGTATGAATTTGTGAAATAACAATGCATAATACCTGTAAAGAGAAATTGTTGTTTCACGGAGAGGGGGGAGATGTATTATAGATAAATTTCCGTTTTCCGTTGTTTTCTATTGTGAAAACCACAAGTTTTACCAAAATTAAAGACTTACATCTCTTTGTTTGCCCAAATAAGTTATGTTTTATGAAAATTCCTATAAATATCTATATAAATATGAAAAATCATTCAGATATGTTAACTTTTGAAAATTAAACTTGGAGGTTGTTGGCAGAACAATATTATCGTTCGCCGTTCTTTTCTTGCATAGGATTTATTCAAGCATGCGCATTAAAGATAACAAAACAGGCAATATCATCGATAACCAGTAGCAGTTGGCAATAAG